CAGAAGCCGTCAACTGATCTGCCTCGCCCAGGAAGAGCGCAATGATGGTGCCAACTTGGGCCAGTGAAGCAATGTCCTCCACACTAGACTGAAGAACAAAAGGACAGCAACTTGTCTGTTCCCCTTCCCCCAGTTCCCCAGCACTGATCCCATCCCCCCAATTCCCCAAAAAAAATCTTAAAAAAAAAAAAAGAATGATTTTGGGGCCGGCTGAGTGGCTCAGTTGATTAAGAGTTGACTTAGGAGCATGAGATCTGAGCAATAGGGCTGCCAGTTCGATTCCCACACGGGCCAGTGATGCTGTGCCTGAGCTGAGCTGTCGCTGAGCTGCCAACAGGTGGCAGGATGACTCAGCTGGCGTAACAACAAGATTGCCTGCTTGATGGTGGGCTACACCCACCCACAACTAAGACTAAACTCGGCAGCTTGAGCTGAGCTGCCACCCAGATGGCTCAATGGATAGAGCGTGCACTCTTAACAAAAAGTCTGCTGGTTCAACTCTCTCATGGGATGGTGGCTATGCCCACCCACAACTAAGATTGAACACAGCAACTGGAGCTTAGAGGCCACGAGCTGCCGACAGGAAGCCAGATGGTGACTGGAGCCCTCCACAACGAAGATTGAAGAACAACAACTTGGCTGGTCCCTTTCCCCAATTCCCAACACTGTTCCACACCCCCAATTCCCCAATAAAATCTTTAAAGAGAGAAAAAAAAAAGAAATCTTGCCATCTGCAACAACATGATAGACCTAGAAGGTATTTTGCTGAGTGGAGTAAGTCAGACAGATAAAGACAAATGCCATATGATTTCATTTCTATGTGGAACCTAAAGAACAAAATAAACAAACAAAATAGAAACAAATTCATAGATACAGAGAACATTTTGATGGTTGCCAAATGGGAGGGTTATTAGAAAGCTGGGTAAAAAAAGGAAATTGGTAGTTACAAAATAGTCATGGGGACATAAAGTATAGCATAAGGAATATAGTAAGTAATATTGTAAAAGCTATATATGGTTTCAGATGGATACTAGATTTATTGGGGTGATCGCTTCATAAGTTATATAAATGTCTAATCACTGTTGCAGGGCTGGCCCAATGGCTCAGTTGGTTAGAGCTCGAGCTCTAAGCAACAGGGTCGCCAGTTTGATTTCCACATGCGCCAGTGAGCTGCGCTGGAACTGAGCTGTGGCTGAGCTGGTGAGAGTGCGTGCTCTTAGCAGCAAGGTTGCCGGTTTGACACTGTATGGGATGGTGGGCTGTGCACCCCCCGCAACTAAGATTGAACACGGCACCTTGAGCTGAGCAGCTGCGAGCTGCCAATGGGCAGCCAAATGGCTCAGTGTGCAACAAGGTTGCTGGTTCGACTCCTGCATGGGATGGTGGACTGCACCCGCCCCCTGCAACTAGATTGAAAGTGGCGACTGGACTTGGAGCTGAGCTGCACCCTTCACAACTAAGATTGAAGGAGAACAACTTGACTTGGAGCTGATAGGTCCTGGAAATACACAATGTTCCTCTTCCCCAATTCCCCAACACTGTTCCCCTCCCTAATTCCCCAATAAAAATCTTTAAAGAGAGAGAGAGAGAGAGAGAGAGATCAGTTGCAGTCTGATGTATAAATTGATTTAATGAGCTAATTCCAAAAACAATTCTTCTTGGTGAA